TTTTGTCTTCCGGTCAAGAATTGCCACCGGTCTCCCAATATAATTTAGGCGGTCGTCCACCTGAATATTCTCCAACGATACCACTGCGGAATCATCCACTAAGCACTTCCGTAGCTGAGAGACATGGAACGTGCCATGGATCTGGCTAAGATCATCTGGAAGATCCAAGCGATAAAGTTGGAATTCCACTACATCTTAGATAGTGATAAGAATTTGGAATTATGAAATAAGAATCATTGGAGTAATGTCCATTCCATCTGGTCACAAAGGAAGGACCATCAAGAGGTATTGTATGCATGTTTATAACATGACATGACTGATATTATTTAATTCAAGTGGTTAGTAGATTACTAGAAACATTATACAATGAATAAATTCATAATTGTTATGGTGATGAAATAATAGAGATTTATTTATATTCAATGGGTATTATACCATCGTTAATTAATTTTTTTATTGTGTTTCACTTTTCATGTTTTACTTCCCTCAGTACTTTAAATATTATTCAAAATTCCATAGTCGTTCATACTTTTGGAAGTAGTGAATTAAGACTATCATAAATCGATTTGTAGATATACGGATTGGACATTGCATATGAATTGTTGCAATATTAATGAGTACTTTGAAAATAGGGAGTTTAAGTATTAAATAAACCCACACTTAGAGATTACTTCATGGATTTAATCACGAGTAATTCTAAGACGATAATATCTTCTTTTCTTCAAACGAAGATACATAAGTTGTAATTTATAAGTCGGTTTTGCATTAGTATTGCGAAAATGCATGAGTAACATGATGTTATAAAATGTAGTGTCATGTATGATTTGGTGAGTAAAGGTTGCAGTTATATAGTAAAAGTTTATTCGTTCCTTTTGCCTTAACAGGAAAAGCGATATATGTAGGCCCTTCGGTGATTTGAGTTGATCTATAAGAACTAGGCCTAGTCCGTACTGAATTGATGTGTTCAATTTTGTAGTTTGAATTCGATCACAAAGCGGGAAATCAGGAAAAAGAATAAATGAACATGAGGTTGATCATTTAATCCATGACTCTGTTCATACGATATCTTGTAGAACGAAGGAATAAATGATCACTTATCTTAGGGCCAACATTTGATTTGAGTCAGAGTTTGGCAGTGACTTTGGAAATCATACTTTTCTATTTGGTTCAAGCTTATACTTGCAATTATAGTTATAGACTTATCCAAGTGGGAAACTATTGGCTTAAGGTGTCTAAGCTCATAACTAAATTGACATATTCTTGTAATTAGAAGCAAAGTCTTTTTTGGGTTACCCTCATAACTAGAACTTGATTAGAATGACATTTGTAAAGAGAAGATAAATTTATTAGTTTATTATATGATTAATAAATTCTAATAATTTTTTTTAATATATTACATGATTAATATATTAATTGGAAATGGAAAGTTGATTTGTTGATTTATTATGTGATTAATAAATTAATATGAGATCAATAGTTAACTAACTGTTCTGTTAATTTATATATGATTGATAAACAAATGTGAAATCAATTAGAATTGATTAATTATTAATAAGAGTTAATCTGGAATTAATTCTAGATTAACTGGAATTAATTAAAGGTCTAAGGGTTGAATTGTAATTGTTCATATTTGAGAAAGGAAGAAAAATTATAGAAACTATATAGAGGTGAGCGATTTTTGCAATGATTCTAGGGGTTCTATAACCCTCCTGATTACATATAAGGAAAGAATTTGAATTAGGATTAAATCTATTATTTAATCAATTCAAATCTGGCTTTTTTCTGCAAGTCATCCACACTATAAATAGGACCACAAGACATGTAATTTTCACTCATGCTATTCCCATAAGGCTTGGGAATGAAATTTACTTCTCCTCCCATCTCCTCAATTTTATTATAATTATAGGGTTTGGGAGTGAGCCATTAGATGCATCATCCTTTTAGTGCTAGCTTTCCAAGCTCTTCAAAGGAAGGATTAAAGTGATTTGCTTACTACAACAAATCAAAGGTATATAACCCTAATTCTTGTGTTTTGATTATATTAGGGTTTCAATTAGGGTTCATATTAGTTTTGTTGTTCATAGTATGTTACATTCAAAGTGTATGACATAGATCCTTTAGGTTGTATGGTCCCTTAAGTGTTAAGTGAAATTCTACAAGCACATAGTTTTTTTTAACCTATAAAACCCATCAGTAATAGCCTACTCTGTTTTGGATATTATTTTGTTTGGTTTGGTATGTTATTTGTTTCATCGTTTCTAACCTCCTCGTCGACTACTTCCTCAATAATTACCTTTTTAGATGTTTTGGTATACATAAATAAGTAACTAAATTTTTAGACCTGTGCTTGGTGTACACCCTTATGACCTTCTTGTCTCCCATATATTTTTCAAGATTGAGGGCATCATCATCATTACCTAAAGCCCTTAGTCTAAAGTTCATTCCTTCACATTGTATTTTAAAATGGTAGTATATCATGTAGGGTCTTTGTAACCTAGTTCAAATATTATTAAGTACATCTCATGCACAAACAACCCATCAATATCAATGAAATCGGTGAACTGAAACTCACCGTCAAGATATTTAATGTTTGGAAACTTAGTGAACCTCCAAACATGATGAAATTCTATGGAAAACATAATAAAACCTTCAACATAAAACATAAAACCATTAAATATAAGTTAGTGCCTTTGATATTTATAGTCGATTAAAAGGGTTTTTAGGTACTTTATGGACATATATGAACTTACCATATCTGTTTGTGAGGTTGTAGTTTTGACCCAATGGACGAATCTTCCACACCATTTTCATTGAACTATGATCTTACTTTGTTTTAGGGTTTTCTGGGGTGAATGAATGTGATTGAAGAAGGCAAGGAAAACATATGGACTATGATTAGAAACATAGGTACTACTGAAACATTATGTGGGTAAGGGGTGACGAGACTTCGTTACACTTGAAATGACTGAAATGCCCTCACATGAAAGGCATGTAAGGAGGTTAACAGACCTTATCTAACGGGTGTTAAGTGGTTAGACTAAAAACACAATGAAAGTCGTCAATAGGGACGTAATCTGCAAGTTGGAATGTTTGTAGACCTAATCCAAAGAAAAATCGCAAACCACATGGACCAATTTTACAATTTTGTATAATAGTAATAATATATATTTTAATAATAGCAATATAATAATTATTATAATTATAAAAGACAAACTATTTCCAACTGAATTACGCTTTAAAAAAATAATAAGTAATTTGTTCGATATTTCCAATAGTTATATTTTGTCGCTTGTTTGGTGTAAGTGTCGCTAAGGCGGTACACTCTTAGCACATTTTCACATAGATTTTGTTAGTTTTTTTTAAAACCACATAAGCTTATCATGTCTAGCGAAAAAAGTTGGGGAATGGTAGTATGTCAATTTAATAAGTTTGATTTTGGGGAAAAAATAAATAAATAAACACACATCAACCAATCACAACACCCCTTTTCTCTCTCTCTCTCTCTCTCTCTCTCTCTCTCTCACCATGGTGAGGTTTGCTTGGTGAGCCCCTTGGTGCAAGTCATGGTCGCTGTTTGGTGCTCGCTAGCGAGGGTGGCGACCCTCACTCCTTGGAGCCTAAGTTGGTTTTTTTTTGGTATGTTTGGTTGGTATTCATCGTTTTCTTTTGAAAAGATTATTTCCATCGGAAATCCTGTAAAAAATCCAACTTCTTTATTAGTGCAAGAAATCATTAAACCCCTCTGGACGCAAAAAAAAAGTCACTAAACATATCACCAGAATAATGTGCAATTTAGAATGAAATAAGGCTTAAGTTTCTTACTCAAATCAAGGTGAATTTTGTTTGACTTTTACATAAAACTCAACATCTTTATTGAAGGTGTATTTAAGAACTTCAATTTCTTCTGTTGATGGAGCATCAGCCTCCTAGTGAACATTCTGGTATGTGCTTCTCTTTCCTCTCTCATCATTTTAATTAGTATTCTTCTTCACCAAGATCATACCATAACGATTCATGCATTGAATAATTTTATGTTGTGTGTGACTATTTGTACTTTTTATTTTCAAAACAATTGGATTTAAGAGATTAAGTGCTTTATAATCAAGGGGCTATTTGGGTAATTTATCATTATTGAGTTTTAATTCTTAAAAGGATAAAATATATTTTGGGATAATCTCAGTCTCTAGTCTCCTCCTGAACATCCTGGCCTGTTCTTCTGTTTCCTCTCTCATCCTTTTAATTAGTATTCTTGTTCACCTTGATCATACAATAACGATTCATGCATTGAATAATTTTATGTTGTGGCTGTTTGTACTCTATATTTTCAAAACAATTGGAACTAAAAGCTTAAGGATATGGTTGACGTACTAGCTGAAAAGCTAGTTGTTAGCTGAAAATTTAGCTAATAGCTGAAAAAACTAGATGTTAAATACAAAGCTAGCTGATAGCTGAAAAACTAGTTGATAAAAATTGTTGTTTGTTAAAACTAGATGAAAAACTAGCTGAAAAATATAAAATGACTAAAATAGGACATTTAAAAGAATGCATTTTTATAATTAATTAAGAGGTATATATGAAATTTTTTAGAAAAACTCATAAAATGCTAGTCTAAATAGCTCTTTAAAAACTACTTATAAGCTACTTGTTGGTTTGTCAAACATGACAACTTTAAAAAAGTTCAAAAAATAAACTCACTTATGAGTTAACTGTAGCACGCCAAACACAGCCCTAAGTGCTTTATAATCAAGGGGCTATTTGGGTAATTTATCATTACTGAGTTTTAATCCTTGTAGGGATAAAATATATTTTGGGATAATATCAGTCTATTTTAGTTACAGATATAGTTTAACATGTGTATCTCTTAAACACAATATAGTACACTTTTATAATATATCAATTGCCTTTAATATATATAAGTTAGATAACCCATGCAATTATCACATATAAGTTACGGTGAAAAGTGAAATCACACAATTACTTTATTTTGAATTTTGACTGTAATGGACGACAGAGAAAACAACACACCGGCGATCGGAATAGACCTCGGAACAACCTACTCATGTGTCGCCGTTTGGAAGCATGAACGCGTTGAAATCATTCCCAATGATCAAGGCAACAGAATCACACCGTCTTGTGTTGCTTTCTGTGATTCGAAACGCCTCATGGGCGATGACGCCAATTACCAAGCGGCTATAAACCCGGCTAACACTATATTTGGTAAACATTTTTTCAATTGTTATTGAATGCATGCATGTTGTTATTCTTATTATGATTAAGCATAAGCAACTTCCATATCCAGGAGAACTGCAAAAGGAACAGTAAGAAACTGGACACTGGATTTCAAAAGCAGTGTTAGATCTTTAGAAAATTGATCCTGAATAAAATTTATGCAAAGTGAACTAGATTCAAATATACCGAATTATTGGATCCTAATGGTTATGCACTAATGTTTAAAGCAATGTTACACCGATCTCTCCATTTTGGGGTTTTAAGGTTGTAAGATTGTTTGGTATCAGTGTGCTTGAGTCTGATGAAAAACTAACTAAACAACAAACTTAATACACCATGACTGCTTTTCTTTGAGAATGGTGGCAAGTCTCGATTACATTATTTTGCTATAGTCAAAAGGTTTAGCTTATATTCCGTTGGAAACTGGGATATCTACTTAATCTTTAATTTGTTTGTATATATATTCTGCTGCATATTACTTATATGTCATTTAAATATCAAGTAAGAAATATACTTCTATAGCTACTTTAATTAAAGAATCAAAATCTTTATTGGTATAGTTGATTTTCAGAATTTCACATATATTGGCTTAATTAACTAAATGTAGATGTACAGATGCAAAGAGATTGATTGGAAGAAGATTCAGTGATTCCCAAGTGCAGGAAGACATGAAGTTGTGGCATTTTAAGGTCATAGAAGGGCCTTCCGACACACCAAAGATTGTTGTCACCTACAAAGGTCAAGAGAAGGAATTTTTGGCTGAAGAAATTTCATCCATGATTCTTGGGAAGATGAAAGAAACTGCTGAGTCATACCTTGGAAAACCCGTGAAAAATGCTGTGATAACAGTCCCAGCTTACTTTAATGATTCACAACGCCAAGCAACAAAAGATGCTGGTGCTATTGCTGGACTTAATGTTATTCGTATGATCAACGAGCCTACAGCATCAGCAATTGCTTATGGTGTAAAAAATAAGTCTGATATTACTGGAAAGATCAATGTGCTTGTCTTTGATTTGGGTGGTGGCACTTTTGATGTCTCTGTATTGACCATTGCGGAAGAGGGTACCTTTGAGGTGATATCCATTGCAGGTGACACTCATTTGGGAGGTGAGGATTTTGATACCTGCATGGTGGATCATTGTGTTAGGGAATTTTCGAGGAGATGGAATAAGGATATGACAGGGAACAATCGAGCATTGAGGAGATTGAGATGTGCCTGTGAGAAAGCAAAAAGGATTCTCTCATGCAATACTCAAGACTTCAATAGATTTAGATTGGTTGCATGAGGGCATTGATTTCTCTATGCAGTTCACTCGAGCTAAATTTGAAGAGCTGAACATGGATTCCTTCAATAAGTGCGTTCAAACTGTGGAGGCCTGTTTAAGCGATGCAAAGATGGAGAAATCGGATGTAAACAATGTGATACTTGTTGGTGGCTCAACTAGAATACCAAAGGTACAATGTATGTTGCAGGAATTTTTTGAAAGGAAGAAGCTATGCATGAGCTTGAACCCTGATGAGGCTGTTGCATATGGTGCAGCTGTTATGGCTGCAAAGTTAAGTGGTAACAATCACAAGAGTTGTCGAGATTTGTTGTTATTGGATGTCACTCCTTTGTCCCTTGGTGTACAAGTAAAAGGAGAAGTATTTAATGTTGTGATCCCACGGAACACTTTAATACCTACGAAAAAATCCAAAAAATTTTCTACTACTAAGGATGATCAATCCAGCGCCCATATCAAGGTATATCAAGATGAAAGAGCAAGATCTACAGATAACCATTTGTTGGGGAAGTTCAAAATTTCAGGAATACCACCATCTCCAAAAGGAGATGCAAAGCTGGAGTTGTGCTTTGAAATAGATGTTAACGGTATCCTAACGGTCAATGACAAGATATCGAAAGAGAAACTCACAGTTACCAAAGAAAATGGAAGACTCTCAACCGAACAAATTGAGAGGATGATAGAAGATGCTAAGAAGTATAAACAGGAGGACGAAGAATATGAAAAGAAAGTCGATGCATTGAATGCATTGATGGATTGCATATACAACATGGATGATAGGATAAAAAGTATGAGGAGAGGTAGAGGTAGGAGGAGGTTGAGGAAAATGGAGGATGCCATTGTTGACACGACCAAATGGATCGAGCAAAACAAAGCTGCATCTGTTGATGAGGTTCAGCGCATGAAGGAACATCTGGAGTCTATATACATGGATGAGTTTTAGTCAAGAATTTATGGTAATTAAACTCATGTATTTGTCAGATCAGTTATGAACCAAAACATGAACTATGGAATGTTATTATTTCAACTACTCACGCAAGGTGCTTGATTTTGTTGGATTTTGTTTTTAGAAAATGTTGAGTACCATCTATATGTGTTGATTGTTTAATTTATCATATTTTACACAACACACTTCACATTTGGTTCTAGACTTTCATGATTTATGTTTCAAAATCGGAGTGCTTAAAATTTTCAATTGAGTTCATGGCCTAACAAGTGGAGATGATCACTTTTAAGATTGAGCGACGGCTACATTTTTTTTCCTTGTGCATATCCACAATATATGGAGTTGAAAGAAAGTAGAAGGTATTTTGAGATGTTGATTTGGAAATTTGTTGAATTGAGAGTGTAAGGTAGCTTTTGGTACTATAGAGAAGTGAAAAGAGAACTAACTTTTCTGTGTATTATAACTCTGAATATGTACAGGTATTTATACAGAGGTAAAGTGCTACTGTAGCCACTAACTTAGGAACACGTGAATACATACCATAAAACCAGGACAACAAAGACTACGTCTATTGACCCTTTCTACTCTTTTTAACTATTCTAATGTACACATTTTATTACCCCCCGGCAAGCGCAAGGGCAGGAAGGACTTGCAGCTTGTTTCTGAGTAGATTGATGCGATCTTTTCCTAGAGCTTTCGTGAAAATGTCGGCTAACTGATCCACAGAGAGAACCTGGGAGAGTCGAAGTTGTCCCGATTCAATTTGTTCACGAACAAAATGGAAGTCTAGTGCAATGTGTTTTGATCTAGTGCTAATAACTGGATTTTTGCAGAGGAATGTTGCGCCCACATTATCACATAATAACATGGGTGATTTGGGAAGAGTAATATGGAGATCTCAAAGTAGTTGTTGAATCCACATAATTTCGGCAGTCGTGTATGCTAAGGCCCTGTATTCTGTCTCAGTGCTTGAGCGAGCAACGACTCTTTGCTTACGAGAGGTCCAACTAATAAGATTTTTTCCATGAAAGATAGCAAATCCGTATTGAGATCTACTATCATCAGTGTCCGACATCCATCCTGAGTATGAGTATGCAAGAAGGCATTCTGGTGTTTGAGATTTGAAATGTAGGCAATGAGTGGAGGTTCCATTTAGATAACGTAAAATGCGTTTGACAGCTTGCCAGTGGGAGGTGGTGGGGGAGTGCATAAACTGACAGACACGATTTACTGCAAATGCAATGTCAGGCCTTGTGATTGTGGCGTATTGTAGGGCTCCAACAGTTTGGCGATATAATTTTGGATCTTCAAATGGATCACCAGTAAGAACTAGTTTGGAGGATGGATCAGCAGGGGTGGTGACAGGTTTGGAATCATGCATCTTGTTCTTGAGAAGGATGTCTGCAATGTATTTTTGTTGGGAGAGGGTAATACCATTTGGTGTCTTAGTAATCTGGACACCAAGAAAGTAATGTAGACTTCCAAGATCTTTAAGGGGAAACGAGTTGTGCAGGTTGTTGATGATTTGTTGGATGAGTGTAGGGTTGGTACCTGTAATAATTAAGTCATCAACATAAACAAGGATGTATACAGTGCCAATAGTAGAGTGGTGTACGAAGAGTGATGTGTCTGATTGACATGCTCGGAATCCATGGGTTACGAGATGAGATTTCAGTTGATTGAACCATGATCTAGGTGCCTGTTTGAGGCCATAGAGCGCTTTATGGAGTTTACACACTGCATTTGGTTGAGATGCATCTTCAAAGCCATGTGGTTGTTCCATATAAACCTCCTCTTTGAGAATGCCATGTAGAAAGGCGTTGTTGATATCTAGTTGACAGATAGTCCAACCATGAGAGAAAGCAATGGAAATAACCAGGCGAATGGTGGTGGGTTTGATAACTGGACTAAAGGTTTCAAAGAAGTCGAGACCTTCCTCCTGGCTGAAACTTTTTGCAACTAGACGGGCTTTATACCGCTCTATCTGGCCATTTGAATGTCGCTTCACCCTGTAAATCCATTTGCATCCAATAATGTTAGTATTGGGGGGGACGTGGTACTAGTGTCCATGTATGGTTTCTCATTAAGGCATCAAATTCACATTTCATTGCGTTAAACCAAAATGAATTGTTGAGTGCTTGGGACATAGTACGAGGTTCAGAGGTTGGAGGAGTGGCGGTAGTAGCAAGGAAGGTTTTGGGTTTAAGGTTGTTGGTGCGTGCTCTGGTAATCATTTTATGTTGAGTGTTTTCAGCGGGACGGAAGTAACGAGGAGCTTGTTTAGATTGAGAACTGATGGTGGGGCGGCGATGTGAAGGTGAGGAAGATAAAGAAGGAGATGGAGTGGAGGGGGATGAGGAGGTGGATGGAGAGGATGATGGATGGGGACTGTTTGAAAATGGGAACACTGTTTCATTGAAGACGACATGACGGGAAATGTAGATACGTGATGTTGGGACATGTAAGCAAAGATACCCCTTGTGGGAGGTACTATACCCGAGAAAGACACAAGGGAGGGAGCGAAAATCCATTTTATTTTTATTGTATGGGCGTAAAAAGGGGTAGCAAAGGCAGCCGAAGGTACGAAGGAATGTGTAATCGGGGTCTTTTTGATATAGTTTGGAGTAAGGGGAGGCATAAGCTAAGGTGGGTGTGATAGTGCGATTATGGATGTAAGTAGCGGTCTTGAAGGCATGTTCCCAATAGGAGTGAGGTAAAAAGGATTGTGCTAGAAGAGATAATCCTTTTTCAACAATGACACGATGGCGCCGTTCCACTGCCCCGTTTTGTGCAGATGTATGAGGGCAGGTAAGGCGATGTTGAATTCCACATGATTGAAGATAGGTGGAGACGGGGCGATATTCTCCGCCCCAGTCAGATTGAAAATTCCGAATGTTGCACCCAAATTAGGTTTTGATCATGGTTATGAAATATATGACAGTTTGAAGCACCTGAGATTTTGTAGAAAGAAAATATATCCAAACAAATTTGGTAGAATCATCAACGAAAATAATGAAGTATCTACTGCCATTTATTGAAAATAGGGAGATGGCCCCCAAACATCAGAATACATTAACTCAAAAGGTTTAGTACACGAAATATGTGAAGAAGAGAAAGGAAGTCGGTGGCTTTTGCCTAACTGGCATGGTTGACAGACTTGGGGTAATTTATTTGTTGATGTTGGAAGTTGAAAGGTGGAAACGAGACGCCGTAGGATGGCCTCATGCGGATGTGCTAGTCGGTTGTGCCATCCAGTCAGAGAGGTGCGCACACTGGAGAGGGCCATTGTTGACGACGCTTTATTGGAAGGAGGAGACAAGCGATACAATCCATTTTCAACGTGGCCGTGAATGAGTGGCTTGCCCTGAAACGTCTTAACAGTACAATGGTGAGCCCAAAATTCCATATATACATTATTATCAAGAGTAAGCTGAGAAACACTGAGAAGGTTTTTGGTTAAACATGGGATGTGGAAAAGTTGCCTCCAAAATTAGCAAGTGGCAAATAGTTCAGGGGTTATTTCCGTAACTTATCATTTACTATTCATAGTTTGACTATGAATAGTAATCTAATATGAAATTGAAAATGAAATTGGACGGAATGGAGGCGCAGACATTATTATATGTGTATAGTAATATGCAATATGAATTTGAAGATTGTAGGCGCAGCAATTTTGTCTTGGACGGCATTTTTGTTTTCATATTAGATTTGTATTCTCCTCTTTGGCTATAAATAGCCAGAGAGATTTAACCCACACATAACTCAACAATCAAAATATATATATATAGTAAAACATTACATATATATATATATATATATATATATATATATCTATATATATATATATATACTGATACACCACCACATATATTTTAGCCCTCTCACTCTATTTGTAATCTCTTTCATAATCCCTGTAAACACTGCAAATTATAGTGAATTGTTTCTCGGCTTCCTCCGCCCGTGGTTTTTTCCCGATTTGGGTTTCCACGTAAATTCCTGTGTCTCTATTCTATTTATTTTATTCGTATTTCGTTGTGATTATTACGCTTTGATAATTTTTTATCCCATTCCACATTGAGCTAATATTATTTAAGTCTATTCGGATCCTTCGTATTTCACAACAATTGGTATCAGAGCATCCGGGTTGTAATATTAGCTCATTGGGATCATTTTATCAAGTAATTAATCATGTCTTCGGTAAAATACGATATTCCACTACTGGATCGTAACACACGATTTCCGTTGTGGCAAGTAAAGATGAGAGACATTCTCATTCAGATGGATTTACACAAGGCGCTTTTGGGTTTCAATAAGATGCCCGATACATGGACCGAAGAAGAAAAGGAGATGAAAGATCTGAAGGCTTTATCCCAGATTCGTTTGCACTTGTCAAACGATGTTTTGCAAAATGTTCTAAAAGAAACGTCAGCGGCTTCTTTATGGCTAAAGTTGGAGCAACTGTTGATGACCAAGAGCTTACCAAACAAATTGCATTTGAAGCAACGGTTGTTCAATCTCAAGATGATTGAAGGAGGCTCTTTAACTGAACATATATCCACATTTAAAGAGTTAGTAAATAACTTAGAGAATATGGATGTTCAGTATGAAGATGAAGACTTGGCTTTATTCTTACTGTCGTCGTTGCCAGAATCCTATAGCCATTTTCGTGATACTATTATCTATAGCCGTGACACTTTAGTTTTAGATGAAGTCTATATAGCTTTGGATTCCAAAGAGAAGATGAAGCATATTACTGGTGGTAGTTCAAGTGATGCTAAAGCCGAAGGTTTGAATGCCAGAGGAAGAACAACAGAGAGAAGTAGAACTTCTCAATCTTCCAACAGAACCAGATCCAAATCAAAAGGCAAACGAAAGTTTTGCAACTATTGTCACAAGAAGGGACATGTGCTTGAAGAATGCTTCAAGTTGAAGAATAAAGAAAAAGAGAAGACGGCAGCAAATGGTAAACAAGCTAGCACTTCGGGTGAAGCCGATGT